TTCTTATTTTTAACCTTCTAAATGTAAGACAAACGTTTTCATACAATCATCAATCTCCTTATTTCTTTATTCGTTTCTTTTTAACCTTCTAAAAGTAAGGCAAACGTTTTCATACAATCATCAATCTCCTTATTTCTTTATTCGTTTCTTCTAAAAATAAGAATTTTGGTTTTTTTTTTTTTTTTTAACTTTCGGCTGAACATTTGCAGTAGTCCGTTCACCGTACGTCAAGTCCGATTACCTACCTGACTGGTAACTTTCGCCACGATGCGTTTCCGGTTTCTTCTCTATCTTCATTTCTCAGTTTTTGGTTTTCTTGGCTTTCTTGGTAAACAGCAAGTCAAACGTCGCATTGACTTCCTGTCACTACAAAATTTAATGTGGAGCTAAGTCCTTACCAAGTAAGATAAACGAAAGAACCAGGAGTTGTCCGGAAAATGAAATTGTCACGGAATTTTTGATAAAATTTTTCTAGCAGAGGGAACCGTCCCGAGTTTGTAGATTACACAAGTCATAGGCAGAAATTCATCTGATTGGCTAGTGCAAATCAATTGCCCGGGTAACTTATTTATATGTTTGGGTACTTTTTAAGAACGCAGCATTACACAAGTAATCATTCTTAACAAACGTCGTCTTTAGCTTTAAAGAGGTGCTAGAAAGCTAACTTTAAAAAATAATCTCTAATAATCTCTAATTTAAGAGGAGTTGGCTTAGACACGACTTTCTGCTGACTTGCGTACGGTTTAGGTTCAACCGGGCAAATGAACACGTGCCGTTTTGCGGCACGTGTCAGCCAATCATTTGCCTGGTTGAGCCAAATTTCTGTAATTCAAAAATTTGCCGAATAATGATGTTGGTATGGAGTCGTCGGCTGAGTTTTTAATTCGAGTAACGTAAATATTTCGTAACACATGAAAAAATAACAGACAGAAATAAATTCATGATCATAAGAGTTTGCCGGATAAAATTACATCTGAATCAAAACTTATCGAATCGGCAAATACTCGGCCGGTCAATTTTGGCCAAATTTTCCAGAATTTATAACAGCTGTAATCAGGGTTGTAAAATTACCGTAATTTACGGTAAGTTACTAAAACTTATAGTAAATTACCATGGTAAATTACAACCCCCCTAGCGTCACCACCCTGAAAAATTTCGCTAGTCACGTGATCACGTGCAACCAATTATATCCCGCCATCTGTCACGTGCAACCACCATTCATATTCAAAGTCTGGATCATCACGTGATCACATGCAACCAATAATATTTCAATAACTGAAGGACAAACGTGACCACGTGAAACCAATCATTGTTCAAAATCTAATGCACCCTTTGCATTAACGTTAAGAGTTTTATAATCTTACACTTTTAAAAAAAACTACATAATGCAGAATGTTTTGAATTGATAATGTTCTGTTATATAACTACACAACTATGACTTAAACTATTGAAGTTTTAAATGTAAGAGACACGACTCATTATTTGCATTTAAATTTATATAAAATTCATAAACTCATAATATTTATTAAATCCAGAATGTGTTGTTGTTGCGACCCTCCCAGGTATTTGGAAACTTTTGCTGACGGGTAAGTTGCTTGCAATCACTCACCATTTTTCGTAAAGTATTGAAGTTCTTGTCGATAGAATTAAGCCATTTATCTGCATTTTGAGTTTGGATATTTTCATCTATAATAACCTTAACCTCATCTAATAAAGAATACAATTCTTTTTTTTTAGATTTGATACGTTCTTCAATTGTGCCATTTTCACCTTGGAGCAATTCAACTATAATGTCTTGAGGTAAATTCGTTTTATCACCACCTGGGGGTAATTCATTATTATAATTTTCGTCTTGAGGTAATAATTCGATAATCATATCATCACTATCTTGGGATAATTCAACTACTATATTGTTCTGAAAAGTTTTTTCATTGAAATTATTATCTGCTATAGCTTGGTCTGATATATACTCTGTTGAAGGTTTATTTAAAGCAATAAGAAAAAGGTTTTCTGATAGGTTTTTAAAAGGATTATCATATTCCTTAGTGAATAGCAAAAACAGGTAAAATTCTTGGCGGCAAATCTTTTTAAAAAATCCGATAGAGATCGGTTCTATGTTTTGGACTAAATGTTTGCAGATGAAAAATCTGCTAAACAAAAAGCCGAAGCATGAACATACCCACCGTTGCGTATCAGTAATACATTGTGAATTAGGATTAGTTATTTCTTTTTTACACAACTGATGCCATTTAGTTTTAAGTTCAGATCTCCAGGATGTTACTATACGATCATTACGCAATTGCTGTAGCTGATCAACTTGTGCCGGTATTACTCATGTTACAATGATATAGACTAATAAATCCAATCTTGCATTATTGTACTCAGAGAGAAAGTCGTGTTTTATTACTCTCCAATGGCTCTCAATCGTCATGGTGGAACGTAAAATGTTGACATGTCCTGTTGCAGAGCGCGCCCACAACTGCCATCTCCCTGGCCGGTACCACTCCGACCATAAGTAGGACCAAACATGAGGTAGGTTATTTACTTTGCAATAGTCATGTTGTTCTTTAACACAACTTTTCCAAATGTCATGTAAAGTAATTGATTTTGGTCAGTTTTCGGTTGATATTAGTGGGTGTAAAGAAAAATGAATTTTAATCAATTTAATAATATAATCACGAAAATCTTTTCGGCAAAAAGCCGTAAACTTATCACTCATATCATTATTCAAATCTAGTTCCCAAGTGGGATCGATTACAGAACAAATAGCATGCGCTTCGCTTGCAGAATACATTGGGCAAATAATCCCGGTACTTGTAAGTTTTTTCTTTACGATACGCAGAACGTGCCAATAACATAGTTGGATTCTTATTTGGAGCCAAGTCTTTCGGGCAGAAGCAATGTGAGCAAAATCCTTGTCCGTTAAAAGGGTCTGGACATAATTGATTCCTCGTTCTTTTATTAAATTGAACCAGCTTGAAAGTACTGATGTGCGTTTTTGTTCTTGTTCAGGTTTTAAGAATAAGTAGCTTAAGGGGAACCCGGTTCTATCGATGATGCCAAGAATGGCATAAAGTTCATATCTCAGACAGTTTGTTTTATATGTCGCATCGACGAAAATTGTAGTTATTTGCTCTTTTGGAAGAAGATTCAATAAAGGGGTTGTAATTGCAATAATATTTGGGTGTTGGATAATCAATTGAAAAGAAACTTGCCGTAAAAGATATCTAATTACTGACTCTACTTGATCTTTAGCTATCTTATACTCATTAAGTCCCAAATATTTGCACCAATAATAAACCTGTTGTTGTGTAATATGAAGATATCCATTAAGGCGCAAGGCTTTTATATTGCGATAGATTTGAGGAACCGTAAGGAGCTTGTTTTGCTGAATATATTCTTTAATTTCAGGTGCTATAGCAAATGATCAAGGTCGTTGGTGCATTAAATGATGCGCACGAATATAAACTAGCCTATGTGATCGTTTAATAGTGATAAGAATTGAGCCTTCACACTCATATCGAATCAATAAAGGTTCAGTATTCCTTTGTTTGTCAATATCTTCAACTCGAGCCCTTTTTTGTTTCCTTTCAAGCTTGCAATTGCAATAAAAGTTAAGGACACATCATTTTGCACCTCATTACGCTTATGATATATATAGTTATATCCGTTTACTTTTGATATAAGGTTCGCTATTTAGTAAGCAATGAGTCTATCACTTTCAATCTCATTATTTGATTCAATACAATCAGTTAAAGAATCAAGAAAAACTGGAATTTCAAAATCTAAACCTTGTGTACATAGCTTAGTACTATCAAAATCTTAAAAAGGTTCCAAAAATTCTAAGAAAAGATCTCTAAGTTCATCCCGTGAATAAGCAAATGTTTGACATTTTTTAACTTCTTCGTTTTGTTTTTCCTTTAATTTAGTCTTGTTCGCATTGCCAAATGATGTTCGACATCCGTTACATGACTGAACGACTTTGCCTTTTATTCCAATAAAACATTCTTTTGCATATTAACGCTTGCAATGTTGGCATTTTATTTGTTCATTACCGATATTAGCCATATTTGAGCAAATAGAAAAAAAAAAACCACGTAAAAATTAAAGTGAAACGAATAAAGAAATAAGGAGATTGATGATTGTATGAAAACGTTTGTCTTACATTTAGAAGGTTAAAAATAAGAA